TGTGTCTGGCATTGTTAGTGAGTATTATTGTAAGTTTTGCCTGACCACCAACTCCCATTATTTGTGTAAATAGCATTCAGTGCTGTAAGGATTTATTCTGTATAAGTCAATAATCCATGTATTGTGATTTATAGTTAACCTATGCTTATTTAATCTCCTTTTCTCAATAGTGTTTTAAAATTAGTGCCACGGGCTAATCAATGACCCTTATGCTCCAGAGAGATGATCCACCATAAGGCAAGGATGTCTCTAAGAAGGTGAACCAGAGGCAGATAGAAAACGTAGATTCGGGAATGGATTTGGTGCTTGCACTTAATCCTATCTCTAATCTACAGACATGGCCCTGCTTGATACTAGCCCTCATGAAGAAAACATGGAAGATATGGGTGCTATAGCAAAGTGTGGTAAAGAAATTAGATGGTGCCCAACTGTCAGAAAGAAGAGTATCTAGGGTCTTAAAGGCTTGCTTTCAAATGAGCAGCCATCTAAGTAAGACGTCATTTAATCCCACATGGAAGAAGAACACCAACATCTTTGATCCAAGGATTTTAAATTATATAATCCAAAATAGAAGGAGGGAATAGTATCAGAGCTTAAATTGTGAGATTCTGGTGTGCAGAAGACAATAGATGACAATGGAAACCCAAAATACATTTGTAGGATCTACCCAGGAAATAAGCCTCTGGTGATTTCCCTCTAACCATAAGTGAGGGATGAGAATAACCTGGCTATCACAGTATTGCATAGTAGATTAAAAAGATAAATCTAAATGAATGGTGAAAACCTTGTCATGTGACCTCCCTTTTGATACACTTTGCACTTGAGTTGGTTGGTCTTTAACATTGTCTGTCTGGTTTTTTGTTTGTTTATTTGTTTGTTTTCATATTGGGGTTTATCTCTGTTGTATTTTGTCATTGTTGGTATCCTTCTTGACTCTCTGTTGTGTGTTTTTCTATGTTGTTCAGTATATGAAACCCAGGATGGATGAATCTATGGCGACAATAAACAGATTAAAGATTCCTGAAGGGTATGGAATGGGAGGTGGAGGGGGGGTAAGGGAGAGCTGATATCAAGGAGTTGAAGAAGAAAGAAAAAAAATTTTAACTGATTGTGGTAGCATTGTACAACATTTCTTGATAGAATTGAACTATGGAATTGTATGAAGACTGTATTAGCTCCTAATTAAAAAAAATACAAAAATATATATAAAGATATGTAAATATAGAGAGAGACTGTTGATTCAACATGAAAATGCAATCAATGTAAATAAACAATATGTATAGAGATTGCTAAATGGGAATATAAACAAATTAATTAAAATTAAATTTTTTCTTGGGTTTTAGCTATAAGCTTGCATAATTAGTATTTGTGAACCTATATCAATAAATTTCTTTTACATTTTCACAATTTTATTGACATGTCATTTATATGTCATACAATTCAATTGTTTAAACATATTAAAAAGAATTGTATAGACATTACCTCAATCACTTTTATAATGTTTTCTTCATTCTTGAACTCATTTTTAGCCCCCTATACCCTGCCAATCTTCCCTGCCATAACATGAAGAAACTATTAATCTGGTTACTTTTTTATAGAGTTATCTATCCTAGATTTCATATAAAGAAAAACATACACA